TAGATAAATGTTTACAATGTTCATTTGCTTCTCACAAACCCTCAACTTACCTGGGTGCTCCCTGTTGTAGAAAATCATGCACACAAGAAAACGTCACCAAGACATGTTCCAGGACCTGAACCGGAAGCTGCAACATGCAGAGAAGGAGAAAGAATCTCCACCAATGGAGACTAAGGTGAGCCTTTCCCTACTTGGAAGTTTCTGAGCTCTACCAGAATTGGGTGCAAATAGTTGTTGTTGTTTTTTAAAGTCTCTATCCAAAATCATAGAAATGAAACCAAGGAGGCAATTTGTCTGCAGCTCCCAAGGTGAAGGAGAAAGTGGCCAACCGTGATAGAAGATCTAGATTCTTTCTTGATGCTGATGGTGCCACTCCTGAAAAAAAAAATCCAGGGAGAAATTTTCTATTGATGTCTCCCTGAGGAATTATTGGAAGAACGGAAGAGCTGGAGGCGTCAGAAAGCTAGAGATAAAATCATACAATAAAAAAAATGACCTTCCCTCTTCCCTAAGTGTTGGAAACCCCAACCATCCACCTAGAATGAATTCTCAGAAACGTTCTTCTTGGAATAAACTTCTAGAGAAGGGACGGGGAAATATGGCCCCTTTATGACCTTTGGACTTCAACTCCCAGAATTCCTGGCTGGCTTAGGAATTCTGGGAGTTGAAGCCCACAAGTCATGAAGAGGCCATACTTCCCCACCCGTATTGTAGATCTATTTGACTGACACTCATCTCTTCAGAGCAACAGACAGAGAAATGTGGTCATGTCTAGCCAATGTTATGTAAATCGCATTTCTACACTTGAATTTAATTATCCCCGCCCAGGATATAACTAATCCTGGTGCTGGATTGGTGATTTAGAGCCCTCCAGGTTGTTGCCAGAAGCTGAAAATGTGTGAACATGGGTCATATTTACCCCAAAGGTGCTTTTTCAGGAGACAATTGGACTTTCTGGTTTTTCGTTGAAGACATTTTCACTTCTCATCCAAGAAGGTTCTTCAGCTCTGACTGGATGGTGGAGAAGGGAAGGATTGATACTCCTTGCAGACAGCTGGTCATTTGCATCCACACCCTTCAAGTGGTGTGGGAGTATGAATGGATTTCCAGAAAAAAAAAAATACTGCAGGTTACAGGAACTATTAGCACTACTCAGGTGACCCTGAGGACATAGATAAATGGCGGACACAACGACTCTCTAAAACTTGGCAGCTTTTAAGACTTGTGGACTTCAACTCCCAGAATTCCTCCTCCTCCAGTCACGTTAGCTCAGGAATTCTGGGAGTTGAAGTCCACAAGTCTTAAACTTGCCAAGTTTGAAGCGCCTTGCTCTAAAAGGATGCAAAGGACCAGTTCTGTCCGCAAGGAGTATCAAGCCTTCCATTCCCAAACCATCCAGTCAGAGCTGAGGAAGCTTCTGGGATGGGGAAGTGAAACATCTTCAAGGAAAAAACAAGAAAGTCCAGTTGCCTCCCGAAAAAGCACCTTTGGGACAACCATGACCTGGATGACTGAGAATCTCTACAGACTGTTCGCATTTAAGAAAAACTGTATTTTTTCCCCATTGTCCCTTTGATTTCAATACATTTCCTGAAAAATCAACCTTCTTTTGTCATCTCCCCCCATGCCACAATCATACTGGGAGTTGAAAGGGGGAGGAAAGGAAAAACACCATATATTTTCTCTTACGTGTTTAGGCCTTGAAAAGATGGAGCGTTTCCTCAAGTGGCAGTGATAAAACTAACGCCAGCGTAAGTCTTAAACCGCCTGCCTTTCTCCTTCAAGGGCCTCATAGCTACATCCTCTCTCCGACCTCCTTACGCTGCATGTGGTCAGCTACATCCTGAAACTGGCATTCGGCCTTCCTAGTCACAAGCCAACATTTTTTGAATGCTTCCCACCTCCTCCTATATCAGTGGCATCCCATAGTAAGAAGATCTGAAGCTGGTCATTCACTCACCTCGAAGGACCTTTGATTTGCATTCCACCCCAGCCATCCATAATGACTGGTCCGCCTTTCCTAGCCTTGACCACATCCAACATGGTAGACTTTTCCAAACATCCCTGACCGGCATGCCGATTCCTTTCATTACGACATTGAGACAGGTAGTCCTCGACTTGCAACCATTCCTTTAGTGACCCTTCAACGTTGCAACGACACTGAAATAAGTGGCTCGTTACTGTTTTTCACACCGTTGCAGCATCCCCATTCATCGACATTCAGGTGCTTGGCAACGGGTTCATATTTACGATGGTGGCAGTGCGTCCTTCTGACAAGCCAAGTCAATGGGGAAGCCAGATTAACAACCATGTGAACTGGCTTAGCAACCATGTTTACTTAACATCCGTGTGAACTGGCTTAACAACCATGTTTACTTAACAACCATGTGAACTGGCTTAACCACTCAGTGATTTGTTTAACAACAGTGGCAGAAAATGTCACAAAACACACTTAGCAGCTTAGCAAGAGATATTTGCGGCTCAATTGTGGTCGTAAGTCGATGACTACCTGTATTCTACTCGAAGAGAGAAACAACTTTTGTTTATCGGAACTCAAGGTGAATCATGTAAGAGTTCATCAAACATTCCGTCAGACTCAAAAATCAACAAGTGGCAAAGTTGAATGTACATATTCCACCGAAATAATCCCATGTATCTCAACTTTTCTTCGTTCTATCACCCACTTCAAATAGGTAAACTTTAAAAGAGACAAACCACCTGAAATAATCTCCTATCCAACCACAGGGAATGCTTGCACAGGTATTGAACAGGTGGTACCTGGCTCAATAGTAGTTACTAATGGGCAATCAACTAAATATGAACTAACAGTGTGCTGTAGCCACTAAAAAGGCCAACACAGTTCTAGGCTATATTTACAGAAGGATAGAATCAAGATCACACGTTAATACCATTTTATAATGCTTTGGTAAGACCATACTTGGAATACTGCATCCAAGTTTGGCCTCCGCTATATAAAAAAGATGTTGAGGTTCTGCAAAGAGAGTAGAGAAGACCAACAAAGAGGATTTAAGGGATGGAGGTTAAAACACATAAAGAATACTTGCTGGAACTGGGTATGTCTCGTCTGATGAAAGGAAGGACTAGGGGTGACACAATAGCAGCCTTCCAATATCTCAGGGGCTGCCCCAAAGAAGAGGGAGTCAAGCTCTTCTCCAAAGCCCCTGAAGGCAGGACAAGGGGCAATAAAGAGAAACTGATCAAGGAGAGAAGCAACTTAGAACTTAGGAGAAAGTTCCCGGCAGTTAGATGAATTGATCAGTGGAATGGCTTACCTCCAGAAGTACTGGGAATCCATCACTGGAGAGTCTTCAAGAAGAGACTGGACAGCCACCTATTTGAAATAGTATAGGGTCTCTTGCTTGAGCAAGGGGCTGGAGTAGAAGACCTCCAAAGCCCTTTCCAACTCTATTATTCTATGTTCTGAGGCCAAAAGCAACTCAGAATTAAGGAGAAGCTTACCAACAATAAGAATGATTAATCAATGGAACGGCTTCCCTCCAGAAGTTGTGAATGCTCCAACACTGGAAGAAGTTTTTAAGAAGAGATTGGAGAACCATTTGTCCAAAATGGTATAGGGTCTCATACTTGGATAGCAGGTTGGACTAGAAGACCTCCAAGGTTCCTCCCAACTCTGTTAATCCGTTATTTTGTAACATGGGAACGGTAGTGAAACTAAGAATCAACCTAGACCTAGCACGGCTGGGTATACCTCTCTCAGTAAGAAGAGGCATAGAACCAATGGGATTTTACATGTTCCCTCTTACATCATTGTAGCTATTCCAATACTCTCTCTTGGATCGGCAGCTTCTCTTAGCATTGCAGTTTAAGCAATGGCCTTTTGCATCAGGCCATTCTGGGAAAAATATCCAGAAATCCCTTTTGTTGTTCCACAGAGGCACATCTCGTAGTACGATTTCTCAAAAGAGGAATTTCCTTTTCTTTGAATCAATTCAGTTTCATAATTGACCTAACTGCTATTTCCCAACCAGTCTCCCAGGGCACATGGACAGCATTAAAAACAGACAAACAGAGACAGACAATAGATAGATAGATAGATAGATAGATAGATAGATAGATAGATAGATAGATAGATAGATAGATAGATAGATAGAGACAGAGAGAGACAGAGAAAGAGACAAAGAGAGAGACAGAGAGAGAAAGAGATGAGAGAGAGACAGAGTGATGAATGGGTGGATGGATGGACAGATAGGTTAGACACAGATTGATCGATGATAGAGAGATAGAGAGGTAGATGATAAATAGTTTGAAGATGAAAGATAGACAGACTGACTGACATACACCTTGTAGGGGACATGACCAGCATAGAAATTGATTGAATGAATGAATGAATGAATGAATCAATCAATCGATCGATCAATCAATCAATCAATAATAGGCCATGCAGTCCTAGGCTGCCTCAACAGAGGGACGGTATCAAGACCATGCAAAATGCTAGTACTGCTTTATACTGCACTGGTAAGACCATGCTTGGAATACTGTCTACAGTTTTGGTCAGTGAGATACAAAAAGGATGTTGAGACTCTAGAAAGAATGCAGAAGAGAAAAGCAAAGATGATTCGTGGGGTGGAGGCTAAAGCATATGATGAAATGGTTGCAGGAACTGGCATGTCTGGTCTAACAAAGAGAAGGACTAGGGGGTGATATGATAGTGGTATTCCAATATCTAAGGGGTTGCCACAAAGAAGAGGGTGTCAAGGTATTCTCCAAAGCACTTAAAGACAGGACGAGAAGCAATGGATAGAAACTAATCAAGGCGACTCCCAAGGGTGCTTTTCATCAGGTAACTGGAGTTTCTTGAGTTATTTTTTTTCCTTGAAAACTTTCACTTGTCATCCAATAAGCTTTCTCAGTTCTTCAGTTTCTTTTGGAGAAAAAAAAAACAAGAAAGTTCAGCTGCTTTTGAAAAACACCTTTGGGACAACCATGACCAGGATGATTGAGAATCTCCAGAGATATTTAACAAGGAGAGAATTAACAACTTAGGGATTTCTGAACAGTGAAAAAAAATAATCAGCGGAATGACTTGACTCCAGAAGTTGTGGGTGCTCCATGGAGGTTTTAAAGAAGAGACTGGATAGTCATTTGTCTAAAGTGGTATAGGTTCTTCTGTTTGAGCAGGGGGTTGGACTAGAAGACCTCCAAAGTCCCTTCTAACTCTGTTATTCTGTTAATTAATCAGTTGATAGTCTTGCCTCCAGCAGCTGTGGCTGCTCCATCCCTGGAGGCTTTTCAGAAGAGCCTGGCCAGTCATTTGTCTCAAATGGCACAGGGTCTCCTGCTAGAACAGGGGGTTAGACTAGAAGACCTCCAAGGTCCCTTCCAACTCTTTTATTCGGTATTCTGCATTCCCGTTTGGTGTTGACATCTCACTTCCTTTTTCTTTCTTCCTGTGCTCTGATTCCTTTCTAGCAAGAGAAGCAGCAAACACCAAACAAAAGACCTTGGGAAGGACTCCGGAAAGTCCACTCACCCCCAACATGGGTCAAAAAGGAGATGGAGACTGAGATTCAATCTCCCTTAGAACTCAAAACTGTGGAATGGGAGAAGACAGGCGCAACAATTCCCCTGGTGGGACAGGACATTATTGATCTCCAGACAGAGGTCTGAGGAGGAAGAGAGAGAGAGAGAAAAAAAGAAGAATTAAAAAAAAAAGACTCTTTGGGTGTTTTTCCTCACCCCACTGGAAAACTAAACAAGAAAAAAACACAAACAGGTTAGGATTTTTTTTAAAGAAAAAAACAGAGAAAGAAAGAAAAGAAAAGAAAGAAAGAAAGAAAGAAAGAAAGAAAGAAAGAAAGAAAGAAAGAAAGAAAGAAAGAAAGAACATGAACTCATGACGTGGAATTAAAATGCAGAGAAGTGAGCCAGCTGGAGTCTCGCAGAACCGTGGTTGCTCCGAGGAGGAAATACAAGATGATCTTGGTTAGGTTCTCCATAGACCGAGATTGGAGGGCAGGGTGGGAACCATTTCTTTTTCGAGCACAGTAGCAGTAGAGGAAAGAAACCTGAGCTTTTCTGGGTAAGAAAGAAGAAAGAAAGGGTGGCCAAAGGGAAGGGTGGAAATTGGGGTGGGATGCGGGAGGAAAAATAGAAGAATTAAAACTTTTCCAAAACATTCTTAGAGGGGAAAAAAAGGAATGAGTGGAAGGTCTTTGGTGTGGATAGCCCTGCAAATGTGGGGAATGACAAAAATATGGCAGGCAGAAAGAAGGACACCGATGGGAGACCAACCAGCGAGCAGATCACTGGTACCACACTGGAGGGCACCAACCATTGGACGCTAATCTACTCGCACTTGTCTCCTGAATCCGTGAGGAACGAAAAAGAGAAAAACGCCCATCCCTCTTCCACACCTCCTCATCACCAGTGGAAAAGCACCAGAATCTCAAAGCAAGAGAGGTCCTATCTTCACATCAAACACCTCCACCGACCCTCCATTCAGAGAACGTGGTTGGAGAAGGAGAACCAAGGTAATCCAAGAAACTGTCCGGGTGAAAGATTTCAAATCGGTTTCTTCTACTCCACCTCTTCACCATCACTAACCCGAGAATCTCCTTTTAAAGAGAATAAAAAATCCATTCAACCGGACAGCCACCACCACCAAGACCTGCTTTACTGGGTAAAAGGGAGGGTTTGGGGTTTTTTTTTCTTCTTTTTTTAAAATAAAACTAAATAACAGGGGAAAAAGTGAAGAACGTATATCATCCTACTGACTTCGTGGTTCATCCTCCAGAAACTCACGGTGAGCTTTTGTTCCAAACACTCCTGCATATTCAGGTTATTATTTTTCTTTTCCCCTTTCCTATTTTCCATTTTCAAAAGACTACAAGACCCTTCCCCATCTTTTCACCCGTCCACTTTTCAAAGCAGAAAAGTTTTTTGGTGAACTGACTTGGAAACGTGGAGGAGAAGATTTGCCTTAGACTTTGAGACAAACCGAGACAAACCAACAAAACACACAGTGAGTAACGTTCACTTGGGGGAAAAAAAACAAAAATCTCTATTTTTTTTTCTTCAGTTTTTTTTTTTTCCTTTTCGTCAATAAAAAGAGAACTTGAAACCCACAAACTTTCTCTGCTTTGGTTTGTGTCATTTGAAAAACTTCCTTCCGTCTCGTGGGCTGCCCACGTGATGGGGGACCAAGGATAGAAAGTGGGATTTTTTTTCTCCCAATTTTGCTTTTGCGGGAAAGCAAAAAGCATCTGACTTTGCAAAAAATATATATATATATATTTGTAATCCCTCTGTTTGGGATTGTGTAGGAGGTTGCTAATCCTGTCTGCTCCTGGGTAAATAATCTGATTTTGCAGATACTGAAATTTGAACGGCCTGCTCACCCTAGCACCGTGTTTATGATGCGCCAAGAATTCAGCAAAACTCATAATGTATCCTGCCCAAAAGCGTTGGCAATGGTTCTTAAGAAGGACAGCACAAGTTTAAAAATGGCTCCAGAGATGTTCAAGTTTTCCATGAGGAAAAAAAAAAATTAAATTTTTTGTGGGATTATGCCCCTGTCCAAAGAAATAGGGAACTGGAAAATTATTGTATGAACCATTACATGGTAAGCAATATTTAAGCAATGGGAAAAAATAATAATAATCAGGGTTTTTGAAATAGAAAGTCTCCGCAGTTTTTAAACAAAATATCAACCTCTTTTTCTCTGTGTGGAAGAAAACCGACAAATTGTACTTCTGTTTTATATCGCTTTTCTGATCATTTTTCCATGTTTCATCGCTCTCTTTTTCCCCCCGCCGTAATGGAAAAATGGGATGTATTTTTATTCCTTTTTTGTTTGTTCGTTTGTTTCATCTTGTTTGCAAACTACAATTGTGTTTTGGTTAAGCTGACAATGGCTGAATAGATGGCATGGACTTATCCTATATGGAAAGTGTTAATGATACGTCTCATAGCTTGATGGGAGACCCAACTCCTTCCATCTCATCTCCATTTGGAAAAAAAAAATGTTTTCTTCAACAGGAATGGTTTCATTTGTTCCTTCTGTGCCAGAGAGTTGAGCGTGGTGCAAATTAGCAGAGTTAGGAGAGACCTTCTAGGTTGGAGTAGATCAGGGTTGTCAAATTTGATTTCATTGAGGGACACATCAGGTTTGTGTTTGACCTCAGGGAGGCTGGGGGGGGGGGCAGGGCGGGGGGGGGGCTGGCTCAACACCATTCATGTTGGGGGCATTTGTGGTGGCCAATTGCCAAAGCAGGATTTCCCTTAGACCCTCCTTCCCTCTCATTATAATCTCCCTTCCTTCCTTCCTTCCTTCCTTCCTTCCTTCCTTTTCTTTCCTTCCTTCCTTCCTTCCTTCCCTTCCTTCCCTTCCTTCTTTCCTTTCCTTCCTTCCTTCCTTCCTTCCTTCCTTTCCTTCCTTCCTTCCTTCCCTTCTTGTTCCATCCCTCTTCGTTCTCCTTTCTCCTTCTTCCTTCCCCTCTTTCCTAATTTTTCCTTGCTGTCTTCCCATCTCTCCTTCTTTTTCTTTGACTTGCCTCTTTCCCTTTCTACCATCCTGTCCCTTCTTGGATGCTCAAATGCAAAAGGGGAAAACATTTTCTCCTTGTTGTGTTTTTAGTCCGCCCCTCCTACAGCCCCCTGCCAGTGAAAACAGAGCTCAGGGTGGCACGCACCACCTTTTCAGGTTCCATTTTCAGCCATGAACTAGCTTTGGTTTTAGCTGGAAGAGGCACCACAGGCCAGTCCTTCACGGTTTCCAGGCCAGTCTCATGGGCCAGATCTAAGCACCTCGTGGGCCAGATTCAGCCCGCGGTCCTTGAGCTTGACTCCCCTTAACTAGATGACCTACCAGGTCCCTTCCAACTCTGTTAATCTATTACTCTGTTAAAATATTATGGGGTACGTGAGGAGCCCATCAGCTGCTCTTGGGGGAGATGATAAGTTCTAGTGGGTACCAACCATCATGAGAAGGTGGCCCTTCAGCCGAAGGATAACGAAGGAGAAACGTGCGGGAAACTCGACTGCATAATTTGTCAAATCATCTCCTTAGTACTAGAAAGTCAAGACTCGAACTTAAACCTGAAAGCCCAAAACTTTCAATACTACCAATATACTACTTTCTAAGTAAAGTCAGCTAAATAAGCTATCGGGTCCAACAATCATTTGTTATGCAATTTCCATTCAGCTCTACATTATTTTCAAGTTATTTTCGGAACTCGCAAATTCCATTTTGAAAAAAAAATGATACAGGTCAACCTGGGCTTAGAACAATTTTGTTTAGTGACCATTCAACGTCACAACGGCACTGAAAAAAGTGAGCCATGACCAATTTTCACACGAACGTTGCACCATCCCCCTGGTCACGTGATCAGAATTTGGTCATTTGGCAACTGACATGTTTTTTAATGACTGCTCGATGTCCCGGGGTCACATGATCACCATTGGTAACCTTCCCAGTTGGCTTCCAACAAGCAAAGTCAACGGGGAAGCCCTATTCGTTCAACAGTGGCATAAATCACTTAACAGTTGCAGTCATTCGCTTAACAACTGTGGGGAAAGGTCATAAAATGGGGCAACATTTACAATTGTCTTGCTTGGCAAAGAACACTTTTGGCTCAATTGTGTACATTATTCTAGAACAACCTGTATTGATTGGGGAAGATGTTTTACCTCAGGTAATCTCTGATGTTCAAATTGACCAGGAAAATTCTAGAACTGAGAACTGAGAGTCGTTTAGGGCTTCTTCAGAGAAGCAAAGGATCAGAAGGCTTTTATGGAAGTTGGATATGAATTAAACAATACAGATAATCCTTGACTGGCAGCCATTTGGGTAATGATGATTCAAAGATACAGGTAGCGCTCAACGCATGAACCACAATTGAGCCCAACATTTATGTTGTTAAGTGACAAATTTGGGAAGTAAGTTTTACCATTTTTCTTGCTATATTTGTGAAGTGAATCGCTGCAGTGGTTAAATTAGTCCCACGGTTGTTAAGTGAGACTGCTCGTCAGAAGAAGATCGCATGACCCTGGGACCAGGGGTGGGCTTCAAATTTTTTAGCAAGGGCCTTTCTGCCCTAAAGACTTGCTGGGTGGGCGTGTCTAGGTGGTCATGTGACTGGGTGGGTGTGGCCAGCTTGATGTCACTTCTTTGCCCTAATTACCTAAAATATACCAAAAAGTTGTTTATTAGTTCATGCATTTAATGCTTAAATAAAAGACTGGGTGAAACCAGGCTTAATAACAGTGACTGTGAGAGGGATCTTGGAGTCTTAGTTTCTGGTGAGTTATGGGATTCTTATTATTTGCGAATTAATCCCCTCAGAGGCTAGTGGCTATGTTATCTGATTTTCATAATGGCTCTCCCTTGCAAGCACTGAGTGGATTGTTTATCTAGCTTGCAACACTTTTACGAGGTGTGAAGTGCTCTTGGCTGAATGCCTAGAAGTTCAATTAAGCCTATTAAGAGCTTTCCCTTGCTGCTTGTCTTTCTGAGGTTATTGGGGGGGGGTCCCCAAGCCCCACAGAGTCTTAGCTAGGGGCTCTCCCAAGCCCCTGTGAGCCCCCAGAAGCCCACCTCTGCTCGGGACCCTGCAACCATCATAAATGTGAGTCAGTTGTCAAGCATCTGAATAGAAATCGTGTGACCC